ATTTTCTGCTTTTTATAAATTATTTTCTGCTTTTTATAAATTATTTTCTGCTTTTTGGACTTCAAAAGGTGGCAGCACTAGTATAGATACTTGCACTTCAATAAAAAATGATTTCATCAGATAACTCCTATCAGTGTTATGTTTCTATGACGCGGATTATGTTGTTTAAGTATTAGATTCTTAGTTTTTGATAAAAACAGATTTGTAAAATGAACTTAATTGGTTTCAATATATAATCTCCAGCTGACTTGAATTTCTTGAATATATATATAACGATGTCTTGGGAGTTCAAAATTTCCATCCCTATACTTAAACCCTAGTTTTAAATTGTGTTTCACAACAGAAGGAAGGGAAAAAATTTTTTGCTCAGAGGTAGAATTAACTACCTACCTACCTGCCTGCTCTATCACAATTAACAAAAATAAAATAAAAACAATATTTTGTTCCATTCTGGATATAAATATTTGACTTTGGCAGGTATGTGTGTTATACTTGCACCATTGTTTTCAGACGTTTTTTTTTTCTTTCTTCTATTCTCTATTATTATGAACATTAATAAAAGAGAAAATTTAGTCAAATATAAGGATAGTCATGTGTATGAGAAAAACTTTCATGTATATATTAGTAGAGAAGGAAAATAAATCGGCGAAGAAATAAAATATAGAGAATGCAGACAGAAAGTTAGAGAAAATAAGGTGACAGAAGAAGGTCACGCAAATCAGTGTTGACTGTGATCGATAGCTTGAAATGTGTGCAATTTTACCTCACAACTTTCATTACTTATATAAATCTGCCTACGGCATAAAAACAAATACGACTGCAAGAGAAAAAATAATAGTTTGCTTATTTTTCATATCATTTATCCTTGGAGAAATACGAAAAAAACGAATAACTAACAAAGCCGTAATCACAATTATTTTAAATATTTAGTTGCTCTTTCGACATCGACAGTTGTCTAGCTTGAATTATTGAATTGTATATCACATACATATTCATTTTATCATCAAAATCTAAATGAAAAAGACGCAAGCATGCAATACAAATTGATTAGTCTATACAAACTAGGAGCACTCGCACACATTTCTTGTTTAAAAAAACAAAGTATTTCGTCCGTGTATATAGCTACAAGTAATCGAAATGATACGTAAATACATGCATTACCATGCTCGAGTTTTGAACTTTTTAGCGTTTACAAAACTCTTTTTTTCACAACTTAAACGCTATAAAGATATCATTCCGTACGTGCAAACACTTGTCTAGAAACTAAAGTCAATTGAAAACTGTATACGAGCACGAAGTTTCGAGAGTTGAAAAAATTAACTTTCTTAATACGTTCATAATTAGTCTGATTTGGATCGCCAAAAAGCTCAAAATTCTGAATGTAAATAAAGAACGATCAAAACATTTATTTCTCAAGCCGCGACACGGTTATCAATCATTACTCCAATCATAACAGTAAAAGTGCTGCAGAAAAAAAATGTAAAATTTAGACTTTCGTATAATTGACATGCGTACGAGATAGGATGAACGTGAACACGTTTATGAAAGAAAATTTTTAAACATTTGTATACCTATCTATATAGGCTACACGAATTTCGGCCCAAGTAATTTTTGACTCGGATTTTCAGCTCAGCTCGAATGTCCCATGATTTTTCGCCCTGAGCCCAAATTCATCTCATCAATCCCTTAAAAAAGCCATATTTCTATCACCCGTTGACGCACTTCATAGTGCTGAGTAGTCTACTTGGATTCATATTAGAAGTGCTGTAGTCTTAGAAAATAGCTATTACCTCTCCGCAACGAGTGTCAAAATAAAACGAAATGTCGTATGCTGCACAGGATGCTATAACTATAATGTGATCTAAAATTATACTGCTACGCACTGTGCCATTCTGCTCGGCATTACGGAAATATGCTAACTATTCATTGAAGTTAGACTATTTTTTATGAATAG